AAAAAAAAAAAAAAAAAAAAAAAAGAATGTGTAAACAACAACCAATACAAAAAGGACACCAAGTTCATTTAAAAACAATAAAGAGGGGGAGGATTTATACAAAAACATCGTGTCTACATAATAAGACTATTATGAAGTGCTGGTTATTTATTCTTGTGTTCATTTTTTTCAGTTTTCTGAAGGGAGCACATCTTGTTTTCGTAATTATGAAAAAAGCACAGTCCCCTGTTTCAGAAACCCCTGCTCCGTCCGGCCCACAGCTGCTTGTAGTGAATTCTTTGGAATGAATTTGAGGCTCACTGGGCTTCATCTGCTAAGGGTGCATGGAATTTGGGAAACAGCCAATGCCGATGAGTAGGGGAAGAGGAGGGTGATTTGGAAAAGAAAAGACAAGGTGTGATTTGGAAGGAAAGCAGCTGGCTTTTTAGGGTGCTTCTCATAAGAGTTCCAGCTCCAGCAGCTGCATCCAGCAAGGGGAGCTCTGCACCTTCAAAAAGGCCCTGCGCACGCGACCAGGTGGAATGTGGATTGGCGCTTTCCAGCGTGTTTGTTAAATAATCGACCACGCTGCTTTACAGTCACTCAAAAAAGAAATTTTAAAAAGCGAGGTGGAAGAAGGGAAACGAGGAGGAAAGGTTTGCCAGGATGGGCAGAAGGTGTGCTCCAGACTGTCTCAGGACCACACTGGAGCATCCAGGGCATCACAGGATGTGACGCAATCATCCACAGTGTTTACAACATGGAGACCAATATCCCGGTGGACAACAGCAAAGCCTTCTGCATTTCAAGGGTCTCCCTTCAGAGAAGGGAAAGCAAAGGACTGCAGTGACAGGGCTCTACAGACTCCCTCCTCTCAGGGAGGGGCCAAAACAATCCCAGATGAGCTCCAACCCCAGCCCACTTGGGGTCAGACTCCGAAATCCCCCCTTCCAATAAGTCAGAATGCAAATGCTGGTGGGTTTCAGAAAACCGACTGAAGGCGGTGTGGAAACAGCAAACGACAGAGGTGCCTGTGGCCAAAGAAGCATAAGAAATAGACACTTCTTCACATTTCCTTGCGGGAGATGGCAGGTTTTCCACGGCTCCTGGTCAATCCTCAAATGCAGGACACAGCTCCCTGCCCGTGCCTGCCGCTCCACAGGGATCCCACCCTTTCCAGGCAGCACGGGGCATTTTAGCTGCCCCCTGGGCAGAGTCAGCAGGCTAAAATGCCAGGATTCTACCACACTTGCAGTTGGTGAATTCTCAACACGAGAACCGTGTTCCAGAAGATACATGAGATCCCATCCTTTTGCCATATCCTAAACATGTGACTCATTGTTGGGGGTGGTCCTGGGTAACGGGCAAGGGGGCTTCCTCTGGGATCCAGAGCTGTTGGTATTTCGCTAGTGTGGAGGCCAGGGCAGAGGTCAGCTAGCAGGGGAATAGAAGTGAACATGTCCCACTCTTTGCTGCCTAAGAGAGGGTCCAATGTGTGCCGAGGAATTTAGACCCCAGGCCATGAGGGTGAGACCAGTCAGCATTTTAACATCAGGCACCGAGGTTCTTCTTGCAGCGGGAATTATTTTGTACTGGAGAATAAAAAATCCTAATAAGCCACCTGGGAGTAGAAGGTAAATGCCTGGGGCAGAGGAGAAAGGCCACAAGAAGGAGTGGAATTGATGGGAGAGAGAAGAAAGAGGACGAGGGAGAGGCAGGAGAGCAAGGTGGGGTGAGAGACACAGCCAGAGGCTGCAGAGAAAGGGGTTGGGGAGAACTTCCAGGAAGGGTGGTGGCTTAACTTTAAGACCTTGGTGCGGGCAGGCGGGGTGTCTATCTAGTATTCCATTTTAAGTTGTCTGTGTTGCTTCCATGTGAACTCTGGCACCCCGAGTTATCAGTGAAGTCTGATGCACACCAAAACGCCTTGTAGTTTGTGTGTGTGTGCGTGTGTGCATGTGTATATGTGTGCTTGCGTGGGTGTATGTGTGTGTGTTTGTGGGTGTAAAACAAGGAAAAGGAGCGCAGTTCCAGGTGACACAGGGGTGTGGGTCTGGGTTTGGGGTGACACAGTGTGGCCCGGAGGGAACAGCAGCAGACAGTGAGAGGAGAGATTTCAAGACCAGTGGGCATTCTGAGCCAGACCCCAGGGACTGCTGAGGGTGAGGGCTGGGCTGGGCTAACCGCATCTAAATCTCACAGAGGTCGGTGACCTCCGTGGCCGTCTGCATGTTGGTTACACGGCAACCTGGACTTCCTCCAAAAGCAGTACTCCCCTCCCAGACTTGAAATCTCCATCTTGAATTGGAAGGGTCTCAGATGGTGAGGATTTTGTCTATGCAATTCTCTTTATAGACAATTTCTCGGGTCTTGCAGCAGCCAGACTCTGGTCTCTCTCTTTCCCCGTTTACCCTGCTCACCGCGGTCAGATTAACCCTTCTTGTCTGCACCGTACGTCAAGCCTCCACAAGGCCTTCTCCAGTCTGGTCCTCCCCTGCCTTTCCCACTTCCCTCCTCTCTGCCCCTCCATGCAGCCGGTAAGTCCCCATCCAGCCCCCATTGGTCTGCAGTGTCCCTTGTGGCCTCCATACTTTTTCAAGCTGTTCCCCCTCATCTAAAGTACCCTCTTTCTGCCCCTCCTCTGTGAGCCCTTTTCATCTGTCGAGGTCCAGATCACATATCCTTCCCTGTAAAGTCCTATTCTAGCCACACTGATACCAAATCATTGAGTGAGCTCTATTTGCAAAGAACTGGGATAGGTGCTGCAGGCACAAAACAGACCTCCCATCATCCTCTGGCTCCACCTATGCATCCCTCTATGCATCACCTCTCTAGCCTCTCCGAGGACATACAGCTGATGCTGCAAACGTGCCTGTATCCCTGAAACTACCCATTTCCTGCGGACCCCTGAAGAACCCTCTGGACCAGCTGGATTGGGATCCTGGCCTAATCTGTGCCCCTGGTGCCCTGCTTGGAGCAGGACACAGATACAGGAGAGACCCCTACCAGCAGACACACGGAGTAATTGGGGGGAAGTTGATTCCTACATGCAGGCTATCTCAGAGAAGCTGGCTGCCTTTGTGTGGTTTCAGAAGCACCCAGAGACCTACTGGCACCAGCTCAGTCATGCCTGAGACCCTTCTACCGTGAGGCAGCTTTCCTTCCCATTGAGAAGGAAGGCTGGAACTCAGACTCCCAGGCCGAGGGGACACAGTGACAGACCTTCACATGGGGTTATAAAAGTTGACTCTGGGGACCTTCCTGAGAAGGTGTTTTGACAGAGGAAAAAGGTGAGGGGGGAGAGTCTGAGGGTCCAAGTGCATGAAAGGAGGAAAGCCAGTGAGGAACCACCACAAGAGGGGAAATGGCTCTTTTTGTTTAAAAAAAAAAAGACAGGCTGGGGACTCCAGAAACGAAGCTGGCCAACTCCCCAGGGTCTAGTGGCTTCTCCCTAGAGGGGTGCACTCCGGGGAAAACACATGGCAGAGAGGATGGACATTTCATGTATTCTCTTTACCGTGCCCACAGCACTGGAGAAAAGGGCTTCCACAAGCGAGTCACTCGGCAGTGTAAGCCGTACAAGAAGGCAGGTACCCTGTTCTGCGGAAATGGACAAAATAGGACGTTATGCCTCTGCCTCATCGCTGCCGCATTTACACCAGAGGCTGCCTTCAGGGTAAATGTGTTCCACTGGGCCTGGTCCGTCTGCTAAGCACAGAGTTTGTGGATCTCCTAGCCTGTGGACCCACTTTTCTACTGCTTTGCCTGCTGCCACTGGAGGTGCCAAGCTATAAACCCCAGAGGTCACACCCTGGAGCCCCAGGAGGCCTGCAGGGGAGTCTCCCACACACCCTCTAGGGCCACGGGGTCATGTACTTGAGGAAATGTCTGCATCAAGACCCTGGGCTTTGAGGACCAGCTTTACCATCAAAAACTCCATGACTCAGAGCTGCTCACCACTCCCCTCTAGGCCCCAGATTCCCCAGGAGCAGGCTGGAATAGATTTAGTTGTTTTCAAATTTTTCTTGGCTACAGAGGCCACGGTGCAAAGAGTATCTGACTGAGAAACTAGGTGGATATGATAAACAAAAGTCAAGCTGCTCCAGGGGGAGGAATGCTAGGGTATTGGGAGCCCAAAACCAACTGACCAATCCCCTGTTCCACTCAGCACAGGGTGAAAAACAGCTGCCCAGGCCACCAGTGAGGTCCCTGGACATCTCTGGAATTCCATGATTCTGCTAGAATGTTGCCATGTGTAGTAAATGTGTGTGCACATGTGTGGTGGGGGGGAGGGGATGGAAAGGAAGAGACAGCAGCCTCTGCTCTCAAGGGGACACAATGAAATGGAGGGCACAAATGTGCACACACACGCACACACAAGCACATCTACACAAACACACGCACTGACTTGAGTGTGTGTTAGCGGGCAGGCAGGTTCAGTTTGATGCTGGTCCCAGGTGAGACGTAGGTGCAGAGCATTTAAGCTCATGGCTCCCTCACATGCATGACCTTGTCCCCTCTTCCCCAAAGTCCTATGAGTTTGGTAAAATGAGGATTATCACTTCCAGATGACATATGAGGAAGCCAAGGCTTTGGATGCCAAGAGATTTGACCACAGTTATATGGCAACTAAATGGTAAAGCCGGGCCTAGACCAGGTTTCTTGATCCCGAGGGCTTATTCTCCCACGTCAAAGGACAGCTAATATGAATTCTTGGGAATTCTGAGATCCAAAGTAAGCATTACTATACACAAAAAATTCAAGAGAGGAGCTAAGGAAATCACTGGGAGAGGGCTGGCTGGAATGTGATCAGTTGTTAGCAAGGCCCACACAACTTAATACACCTGTGGACACACCTGTATTCTCTCATGGGTTCTAGAACTATATCAACACCCACTAACAGCCCAGGACCCCACCAAGGCTGAGTTGGTACTCACTTGCTGGTAAGATGGAGCTTGGGAGAGAGCCCATTCTCTCCAAAAATGGTGATGAAGACATTGGCATTGGTCCCTGCGCCACGAACATCCCCCGTGGCTGTGACCACCTCGTACACTGGAGGAGGAAAGAAGACAGACCGCAGGTTCAGAAGAAAGCCCAGAATCCTACGTGGGCTCGGAGAAGCCATAGCTCCTGCCGGATCCACAGGGGGATGCCCAGCCACAGAGCACGCTCTGGACCCCTGCTGCAACCTGCAAGCCTCTGAGCCAGGGTCAGACCCACACCAAGCCCTGCTGTGAGACCACAATCTCCCACTTAATGCTGCACATTCATTTTACAGGTAAGGAACCTGCAGGCAAGGGGACAAGCCCAGGTCACACAATACACAATGTCAACACCAGAGCCCAGCCCAAGGTCTCCCAATGCCTGTCTGTGATCTTTCCAGCACCGCACATGGGGCCATTCTAGCCAAGACCTTCTTCAGAGCCCGGCCCTGCCTCTCACATTTCTCTCTGCCCCTCTACACAAGGCTGCCTTGCAGGCCTCACTTCCTGTGACCTCCTGGGTGTTGCCATGGCAATCTCAGGATAACACATCTTAGTGGGGGGGATGCAGAACTTTGCCAGTGAGTCCCTGTAGGCAGGGGCACTGAATTCCCCTCTCTTTGTCCCCTTGAAGCTTGTTCTGTTTGCTGTTGATGTCTTTTCTTTTGATGCCCCTGGTTCTGACGAAGGTCCCCGTGAGGGGGAGAAAGGAAGCAGCAGTACATTTGTGTGACTCCCTGTCTCTCGCGATAACCAAAGCCTTCGTTCTTCACAGTCAACACCACAGGGATTCCTGATCGGCAAACAACTCCTAGAGCCCTCCCTGAGATAACCCCAGGACCTGAAGTGTTGCCCATATGGTTTGCACATATACAAGGATGTTTCCCAACTGAGTGTTCATAGGAAAATGACCAGCATGGTGGAAATTCTAGAACCACATCACGTGAGAGAAGACATATAGGCCTGGAGATGCCTGGTTTAGAGAAAGAAGTCTGGGGTATGGGAGAGGGATAAAGAAACTACCTCCATAGCTGCCGCAAGTGTACAGAGCTGTTTCTCAAATAGTCCACTGACCACTAAAAAAATGATAAATTAGACAGTTAAAATTAAGACCATCAGGAGAGTGAAAAGGCAAGCCACAGACTAGAAGATATTTGGAATGCACACACAGGCATCCCACCATAATACCTTGTTTTATCACAATTCCCTTTATTGTGCTTTACAGATATCATGTTTCTTACAAATGGAGGGTTTGTGGCAACCCTGTGTCAAGCAAGTCTATCGGTGCCATTTTTCCAACAGCATTTGCTCACTCCTGTCTCTGTGTCGTTTTGGTAATTCTCGCAATATTTCAAACTTTTTCATTATTATTATATTTGTTATGATGATCTATGATCAGTAATCTTTGATGTTACTATTGCAAAAAGATTGACTTGCCGAAGGCTCAGACGATGGTTAACATATTTTTTAGCAATAATGTATTTCTCAATTAAGGTATGTACATTTTTAGACATAATGCTATTGTACACTTAATAGACTACAGTATGGTGTGAAACATAACTTCCATGTGCACTGGGAAACCAAAAAATTGGTATGACTCGCTTTATTGTGATATTTGCTTCATTGCTGGGCTCTGGAACCGAATTCACAATATCTCCAGGGTCTGCCTGTCGCCAAAAAAAAGGACTCATACTCAGAAAATGTAAAGAATTCACACAAATCAATAAGAAAAAGAAAGACCACACAATTGCTTTAATGGGCAATAATTTCTTTTAAAGATAAAAATACACTTACCATAAGACCCAGAAATTCCCCTTTTAGGTATTTACCCAAGAGAAATAAGAACATGTCCACACAAAGATCTGCACACAAACTTTCATAGCAGCTGTATTCATAATAGCTCTAAACTGGAAAAACAACCTAAATGTATCAACAAGTGAATGAATTAAAAAAGTGTGGTATATCCATACAGTGGAATCCTACTCAGTGATAAAAAGGAATGAACAACTGACATATGCAATACGGATGAATCTCAGGCACACGATGTGGAGCAAAAGAAGTCAAACACAAAGCACTACATGATATGTAATGCCAGCTATGTGAACTTTAATCTATTTTAACAGAAAGCAGAGCATGGTTGCCTAGGGTTGAAGTTAGAGGGAATTGCCTGGGAAGGGGCACGTGGAATTTTTGAGGGATAATTTAAATGCCCTATATATAAATGGTGCTAGTGGTTACATAGATTTATACATTTGTCAATACCCATCAAACGGCACATTTAAAGTAGATTCATTTTATTTTTAATTATATTTCAATAAAGTTGAAAAATGGGCAAAAGACTTAAATAGGCATGTCATAAAAGAAGATATCCAAATGGCCCATAAACATAGGGAAATGGGCTCAGCATCATTATTCATAAGGGAAATGCAAATTAAAATTACCATGAGATACTACATATACCCACCAGAATGGCTAAAATTAAAAAGATGGAGCCATTGGCACTCTCATACATAGCTGGTGGGAGTATAAATGGGTACAAGTCCTGGTAACTAAACATAAGCCCACCCTATGACTCAGTGATTCTACTTCCAACTATAAATCCAAGAGAAATGAGTGCATGTGTCCATCCAAAAATGTGTACAAGATCTGTAGCAGCTTTATCCACAATAGCTAAAAACTGGAAATAACCCCAAATTCCATCAACAATAGAATGGTTAAACAAATGGTGATATATTTATAAAATGCATTAGTACACAAATAATGAAAAAGAACAAACTATATAACGAGTCACAACACGGATAAATCTCTTGGATATAATGTTGAGTGAAAGAGAAGCTAGACACACAAAAATGTGTGTACTGTGTGATTCCATTTATATGAAGCTCAAGAGCAAAAAACTAATGTATGTGGGGCTTCCCTGGTGGTGCAGTGGTTGAGAGTCCGCCTGCCGATGCCGGGGACGCGGGTTCGTGTCCCGGTCCGGGAGGATCCCGCAATGCCGTGGAGCGGCTGGGCCTGCGCGTCCGGAGCCTGTGCTCCGCAACGGGAGAGCCCACAACAGTCAGGGGCCCGCGTACCGCAAAACAAAAAAAACAAAAAAACACAAAAAAACTAATGTATGTGATAGAATCAGGAGGGCCATTACCTCTGGGAAGAATTGTAAAGGAGCTTTCAGGAGGTTAGAAATGTTCTGTGTCCTGTTCTGAATGGTGGTTACACAAGCATGCACATGTGTAAAAATTCATCAGCTGTTCCTTTTTGAGTTTTGTGCTAATTATATATATTACATATATAATTTATATGTGCACATACATATTATATATATTCTATAATGTGCTGTATATACATATATATAATATGTATATTATTCTTCAATTTAAAATTTTTAATTTAAAAATTTCAGACAGCTGAAGAACTATCTTAGAGAAGACAGATATCTCATGGAAGACACAAAACTCCGTTTGGTCCAGAGAGGAGCGTCCCCAACTAGTAACATCCCCTGGTCAGCACAAAGAACTGTCAACAGCAACAAGGGCTGCTCCTAGCACAGAGCATGACAAATGGGAGATGCTCGATAAATAATTACATGGATGAATGAATGAAAACACAAATGAATGAATGAAACAATCAATGAAATGAATGTGGGCTACGGAAATAAATTGACCAGTATGTAAATCTCAATTCTACCATACTGGCTGTATGATTTCAACCAAATTTCTTACTGAGATTCATTTTCCTTATCACCAAAAGAGAGAGAATTTCTTCCCTGAAGGATTTTCATAAGGATTAAATCAAAAAAAACAAAGTTTTCAACTTTCATACTCATTGACCTAGCATATTTCCACTTCTGGGAATTTATCTTACAGACACTCCTCCGCAGCTGGATGAAAGATATACATTCCATAAGTGGTAAACTGTTAACCATCATCACCACCATCATCATCTCCACTGTTGTCATCATCAACATCAATATCATCTTCAACATAACTACCATCATCTCCATTAACAACATCCCCAAGAAGGAAGGCTGCCTTGGGAAACTGTATTCCAACAGACGCTGGGTAGCCCCCTGTCTGGGATACAGGAGAGAAAAGGGCCCCAGGGCTAGAAGCTTGTGCAGCATGACCTCTGAGGTCCCTTCGGATCCCAGATTCTGGTAGGAGTCACTCTCTTCACCTCACGGGCCCTGTATTAGTCCGGAGGTAGACCGGTGCACCAGCCTCAGCCTACCGTCAGAGCATGGAGGGAAGCTTCTCTCCTTCCTCTGGCTGTCGGTAAACTCCAGTGTAGCCTGGAGGCGACCTGAGGAACAGAGAAGGAAACCTAGGCCTTCCTCCTCTTCCATCTTCCCCATCACACTCATCAAGGTTCCCCGCATAATGCAAGAACCCAGTGCTCAAAGGGAGTAGGCGACACATGGTTCTAGAGCAGAGAGGGTAACAATGACAGTGCAGGTAAAGTTCAGCCAGTGACTACCGTCAGAATCATACACGTTTATTGCCCAGTCCTGTAGCTGACAGCGGATCAGTGGGTCTGTGTCTCTTGGAAATGCCAGCATGAGCCACCCTGGCCTGCTCTCTTCCAGCTATTTTCAGCAGTCAAGATCAGACAGTACAAGAGTAAGGACCAGCCAGAACAGCAAGATTCAAATCCTAACTCTGTTACTTCCTAGCTTTGTGATCTTAGGCATGTTACTTAACTTCCCTGTGCCTCAGTTTCCTCACCTGAAAAAGCAGATTTTAAGAACCCAACCCACCTCGTTGGGTTGTTGTGAAGATTAAACTGATCCACGTGGGTAAAGTGCTCAGCGTGGTGCCTGACGCATTAAATACATGATTCTACTGAACAGCATCGTGACCTGAAGTGGGGACTTGTCTTGGGAACCGTTGAAGTTCTTGTCTCTCCTGCTTGTGACCTTGTTGAAATCACGTCAGTTCTCGGAGCCTCAGTCCTTAACCTGAGACTAATCCCACCTGCCTTGACTGTTCTCGGGGATATTGAGGATTCCAAGTGAGAATGGAAGTGAAAAGGCTTTGAGAAGGGTAAAAAGAAGAGGGAAGCTGGGAAGGATCATATAGTCACACTAAGGCAGGCAGAACCCATGAACAGAAGTGGACGGGATGGCGGCTATGAGAGGTTTTCGAGTGCTCTCACCAGCAGTCGTGTTGGCTGGGGCAACTCACCCCAAAGCTGAGAGTATCTGTTATGGGTGCTGCCCGCACATCTAGCCTCAATGCCCCTAGCCCCACCAGACAGAGCTTGGAGCACACACGCTGAGAAAAGGCAGCAATACCTCACTTGTTCTAGGTCCTTCTTTCCTCCCCACAATACCCACCTCCACCCCAGAAGGTGCCCAGGACACCACGCCGGGAAAGGGGCCTCAGCAGAGTCACAGCCTCAAAGTGCCATAGCAGCGACCACCTTCTCTGAGCCTGGGTCTGTGCTGGGAGCTGGGTTAGGAGTCAGGACAAATAAAGGAGCCCCACCCCCACCCCCCACACAGAGGTCAGGATGGCTGAGGCCACAAGCCCAACAGAATCGGATATAATCAAGGAACTCCCAGCAGACAGGAATTAAGGAGGGCAAACAAGCCCATGGCAGGCACAGAGCAAGCATTCGATACTTATCTGGTGAACGAATGGGGGAGTCTGGTGCCTACAGGGAGTAGTGAGCCAGTTTAGAGGAAGCGCTGAGAATTTAAATGCCTTCAGGGGCCAGGCAGGCAGCATTGAGGAGTAAAACAGACCTATGAGTGATAAAGTTTGCTGCCTATGGGCATTCACAGTCAATCATATTTTCTTTTAACTGTAAAAGTAAAACAACAGCAACAAAAACAACAAAGCAAAACAAAAAGCTGTCTACAAGCCAACACTGGCTCCTGGGTCCCCAGTTCACCCCTTCTCTGGTTTACCTGACAAGAAGGTAGAGCATTTCTAAGCAGCTCCCATACACCCCAGAGGAAGGTGAGACTGGAAGGACTGGGCCCGGGGTCCAAAGCACCAACTGCCCTCCCCATGTGGGCCAGGGCCATGGCCTTGCAAAGCCGCAGGCCCTCACCTCCATCAGCCGCAGTGGGCAGCGGCCCCCAGCCCCTGCTCGGCACCTGCTGAGTGACCAGTCTCTTCCCACAGGCGCAAATATGGCTTCTGGGACGTGTAGGACCTGGAGAGTGTGGGCACTTAGGTTCTAGTCTATTCTGTGCCAATCAGACTCTGTGACCCTCGCTACAGTGGAGGCCCCAGTGTACCCCAAGGGGATGTAGGTTAGACCGAACAGGATAATCCACGAGAAAGGATTTGGGTTGGAACCTAAAGTTCCTCCCTCAGAACCAGGGACAGGATGGTATGGGCCCCGCGGGCCCTGCCTGTGCCCCCGCCCCGCAGGCCAGGACCCCGCACACCTTTGGCCTTGTAGTACTCGTGCTGCAGCTCCTCTTCGTCGTCTTCCGAGGCGTAGCTCAGCAGCTCCTGCTCATACAGGGCTAGAAAGTCGATGTCCTCCTTCCTCCTCTTTCTCTTCTGGGGCATCATTTTGCCGGCTGTCCCTTCCTGCCACTCACTGGCTCACTGGCTCACAGTGCCCACCCCTTTGCACCTCCTTGGACCCGCGGCCCTCTCACCTGGAGCTCCCGTGCACACACCTGGGGGGGCCAGAGCCCACACATGCCCACACAGCTGCCCTGCTCCCCTCTCCTCGCTGGCCCCTGAGCAGAACCTCGGTGCTTTATCTCTGCCCTTCCTGTCTCTGGCCCCTCTCTCTGGCCCCCTCCTCTGCACCTGCCGTTCTCTTTGGGTCTCATGACTTATTCATGGGGACTGAGGACAGGCTATCCTCCTTACCCCTCCCTTCCCCACCTGCCCCCCTCCCCCTTTCATGGAGAATCAGGTGACATCAAGCCCTTGGCATCTGTTTCCTACCTGGCCTCACAGCAGGGGCAGGGGGGGCATCTCCCATAAAGATGCCCCAGCCTCACAGCCCCAAGGGCCGTGAAAGATGCCCCCAGGGCCTGAGGCCTTTCTGAGGAGGGCAGGGCCCCAAAGAAGCCGGGCCCCAAGGACTCAGAGGACTCCATTTCTCTCTATTATTCATGACCTCTGCTCATCTTACGGGGCAGGCAATGTTTTTACTGGATCCTTCTCGATCTCTCTGCTTCCATCTCCTCAAGTCTGCCGGTTCTGGAAGTGGCCATTCAGCCAGGAGAGACCTGCTGCTCTGATGAGCCCTCAGACCACCCATAGAGTGTTTTCTGAGTCATGAGTTCCTGGTGTTGCAGCCAGAGCCGAGGGCACTGGGAAAACCCGTCGAGTCCTAGGTGACCCCCAGAGTGCCCCGACAGGCCGGCAAGATTAACCAGCATCTGTTCTAACAAGAGCTCTCCATTTACCCATGTTGCCCTCTGCGCTTGCAAGGAGATAATAGAAACCCTGAGAGCTCACCTGGATGCCCACCCCACTCAGCCCTTACCATCCCTGCAGCCCCACATGGGGATTCTGAGTCAGAGAGAGAGAACCAGAGGCCCCTCTCTACCCCTGATCAGCAAGCACGTTTCCCTTAGGGCCACTGGACTCCTCTTCCTTGCTTATTTTATTTTATTAAGATTTCTTACAACCCAAATTTAAGATTTCTATGTAAATCCTGAAAGCTAGAAATTTTCAATCCATTTGGAACTCTCATTCCTCTGTCCTGGTGGCGTGAGGTCATCAGACAAAACTGGTCTGCCCACCGCCTCCTGGCTGGGCAACCTGCGCAAGCCTGTCTCCCCACCTATAAACGGGGGAGAATGACTCATTAAAGCATATTGAGCACTTGGAGAATATACTCAGTAAGCGGAAGCCTCTGGAAGACAGTAGAAGCTTAATAAATGTTCATGACTGAGGATTTCTCTCTTTCTTATTTTGTATGGCGGGGGCGGGGGTGGTGGGTTGTGTGTGATGCTTCGTTATCATCTCAGATTGTCCCAGAAGCCCTCCTTCGGGTCCCGTAGGCAAGGACCAACCGCCGGTGTCCTCCTTCTGTGGGTCCCGACCCACACTAACACATCAGAGACACTAGGGAACAGATGAAAAATCCAGTTTCCTGGGAGGACTGTCTTGTAAGGCCCTGCTTACTTGTTACCCATCTCCCGCTCCTCCCAGCCTTGAGCTCTGTGAGGGCAGGGCTGGTGCCCCCTTGCTCACTGTTAGGTTCCCAGTACCTATAAGATGCCTGGCACACTGTGGCCTTCAGTACCCCTTTGTTCAGTGAATGAATGGATGCACGAATGAACAAATTGCAGCAGAGCTCTAAAGCAGCTACAAGGAAAACAGAATGGGCTGAAAAGCAAACACACTTTACAAGATAGATTGGTAAAGTGTTCCAGAACCAGTATCGTTCTGAGCACGTTTGGCCTGGAGAAGAGGACATTTCAAGGGTCTACAAATGTGAATGATTGTCTGGACTAAGGCTGAAAGGGCAAATCTTACAGCCGCAGGTGGTGACTACAGAAAGGCAGGTTTCAGCTCAGTCCAGGAAGAAGGATGGGAGCACTGCCTGGGGTGACAGTGTCACAAGAGATATGAGGGCTGGATAGCATTGCTTGTCTGCCTACAGCAGGGGGCGCTCCAGGGGCCTTTGTGGATTTGGACCTGGCAGACTCTCCATCAGGTAGCTGGGACATTCTATGACACTGAGTGGCAGGTGCAGGTGAACATTGAGGAACCATGACAGGCCACCCAGCAGTGGCCACCGTGATGTGCCAGCTCTAGCTCTGCTGCAGAACCTAGATCAGACAGAGGGGGCACTGTCCCACCACCACCGGGGACTGAGGGGGGCAGGAGGGCCTCTGCCCGCCATGCCTGGCCCCCCAGCCTGAGGTGGGTGCAGAGAGGAGGAGGGAGCTGGTCTGCAACAGCCACAAGACTTTCACAGTTCCTCTCTGTCACCTCTGTGTCCCACAACCTCTCTGCCAGGAGCTGAGCCCACCCACAGTGCCCTTAGCCCCAAGCCGCAGTGCCCAGGACCCCCTGGCACCACCTCCCCTTCTCTGTTCTCAGTCTCCTACCCTCTGAGATGCTGTCAAGGTCAATTTTTCCTAAGGTGGGATTCCAGGACTCTGGATTCGACTCTGCGGAAGAACTCATCAAAATGACAATTTCTGATCCCTTACCCCCAACCACTGAATCAAAATCTCTGAGGGGGAAACTTGGAATCTACATTTTCAACAACCCCCCCTCTCCTCCCAGGGGTTTTTCTATGTACTGAAATTTGGAGCCACCCGTGACCTATATGTCCCAGCTGAACTCACTAACTTGATCAACTCACCTGGGCCATGGAGGAGGATTAACAAGCTTCCATCCCGGGGTACACAGCCCCGGCTGCACATCAGAGCCACCTGGAGAGTTTTTAAATGCTGATGCCTAGGTTGTCCCAGAGATCTTGATTTACTCAGCCTGGGGCAGCCTGGGCAGTGGGAGTTTTCAAAGCTCCTGGGTGATGCAGGACATCCAAGCAGCAGTCAGCACTCACATCCCTCCCCAGAGCCTGGGGCAGCTTTGTGTTTTGGAGCCACCCAAGTCCCTACCAGGGGAAGGCATTTCTGGCCCTAAACGTCATCACTCAGGAAAGATCAACTTTACCTCCGCCTCTGTTCTGCTGAGGGATGGTGTAGGGTCCCCCCTCAAAGACTGAATGAGGAATAGAAGTGGAGTTTAAGTGTGGGTGACGCACGCCCCCTGCTGGCACCATATGGTTTGACCTCCGTTGTTAATTATGCATTCGGTTCTTCAGGATGGAGACCTTAAAAGATTACTGGGAAATCACTAGGGAAATATCATTTTTCATGAGGATCCATTCAGAGAAAAAAATGAAATAAAGTGTTCATTTTACATGAGGACCCATTCAGAGAAAAAATAATTTGAATTTGTTTTGGAATTTTTTCAAAAAACTGAAACCAAAATATTTTTAGAGAATCCTGTGGCCTTAGAACGCAATGATTAAGAGAGCAGAGTCTGAAACAATACCAAGTGTTGATGGGGACGTGGAGCAACTAGAACTCTCACACCACTGGTGGCAGTGTAAAATGGTGCCACCACTTTGCAAAAGAGTTTGGCACTTTCTTATAAAGACCCTTCCCACACAACCCGTAATTTCCACTCCTGGGTATCTACCTAAGAGAAGTGAAAATATATGTCCACACAAAAGCTGCATTTGAATGTTCATAGAAGCTTTATTCATAATAGCCACAAACTAGAAACAACTCAGATGCCCATTGACTAGCCAAGACTATTCAGCCATAAAAAAGGGAAGAGGTGATACACGCCCAAACACGGAGGAGTCTCGAAAGCATTATTCGTAGAGAAAGAAACCAGTCAGAATAAACTACATGCTGTCTGATCACATGTATTTGACATTCTAGAAGTGGTGAAACTAGCCTAGTGGTTGTAGGGGCTAGGCACGTGGGGAGGGGATTGACTGGAAGGGAGCATGAGAGGGCAGTGCTGGGCCTCAGGCTCTACCCTGTCTCTCACTGGCCTGCCTCACCTGCTGTCTTCCACTATGAAAGCTTATCCGGGCCAGGCCGCCGGTGCAGTCCTGGCTGCTGACCCGATCCCCATCCCAGGCTCTTTGGTGTGAGGACCCTGCACATGTTTGACTTGGGAAAAGGTGCTCAGGGCATGATTTGCAGACCTACCTTCCATCCCAGGCAGAGCGAGGTCTGTGTCAGCCACCTTGTCCAACCTAGGCTTACCATGAGGCCCTGAACATGGATGTATACTTCTGCACTCTTGATAAAGCTGACACAAAATGCAGACAGGATAATTATTGGGACCCCAAACTTCTGGTTAAAGGAGGGGCCTGTTTATCCCATTGACCACTGGCACGTGTGCATAAATGCATGCTTGCACACACATGCTCTCTCACACACACAAAACTATCTCATTGCCCCAGTCTCTTTCCTCTTTAACTACATACCCCTGCTGCTGAATCAATTCTCCTAAAGCTTGCCTTTGGTCGTGTCACTCTCCAGTTCAAAAACCTTCAGTTACACCTCAGTACAGCCAAATTTTATCAGCCAGGATTCTGGATTGCAAGCAACAGAAACTAACACTGGCTAGTTTAAGTAGAAAAATTATTTATTTAAAAGTTAATGGAGGGAAGAGGGGTTTCAGGATTTTCCAGAGGGCTAAGAACCATGCTTAGGGGCTGTACCCTGGAAAGACGCCTGAGGTCATGTGGTTGGGTAAGGACCCCGCTGCCACCGATGCTGGACCAGAATGGACTCTGCTGCCTTGTGCCAATCCAGAGTCTGGGGCTTGTGCATCTGATTAGTTGAGCCTAAGTAGTGTGCCCACACCTTGCTGGAAAGGAGGCTGGGAAAGTGAGGATTTGGCATTTTCAGCTCTTATCCTGGGAGCTGTGCTCTCCTCAAACTTTAGAAGGGCATTCAGATGTTGGGTTGCCAAAAGAAGAATAACAACTACCCCCGGCACTAATAGAATTCCATTACATTACAGGTTGGGAGGTCCTGTAATCTGACCCAACCTCCCCCTTA